CATGTAGCGCTGATAAAAAGATCGTTCAGAACTGTTAAATGACGGAACTGTTCAACAGATAACATCGAAAAGCTCAAATCAACACTATTCCACAGATTTTTCATGTCATCTCAATGCGAGCACCTCAGACTATATTTACTTCCGTTTTAAACTATGGTTCCACCTTGAAATAATCTATTTGTGGAATGACAGCTTTTCATCGTTGCTTAAGAATCTGCGAGAGTAACAAGCACAGACTTGCCAACATAAGCTAACAGTCCGTGTCAAACGTCTGTCCGTGGTAAGAATGTTAAACTGTCTGTACATTCAGACCGTTGTAGGCAACCACCGTTGCCTCAATTGTGAAGATCCCTACGACAACGCTGGAAAATGTGCATGCAGAACATTCAGTATCTAGGATGTAAACGAACTGAACGCTGAGTTCAGCCTCTCATCACCTAACTCATTCCGCCTACCTTCCTTAACCACTACAGAGCCACCCAGTGTATTTGATCCCACGAGCGTTTACAAGGAGCTCACAAGAATGAAACCAACAAAGCCTATTGGCCCGGATGTTATTTCAGCAGTCGCTTTGTAACAGTGTGTAGATATTTGGAATACACCTCTAACACTGGCTTTGTAACATCACTTAACTACTGGTACCATCCCCAACATCTGGTAATCAGCCGAATTAACATGTACCTACAAATGGGTCTCGTAAGTGCTGACCAATTGCGTCGACGTCCGTGCTGTTTAAGGTACTGCATAAACTACGAATCGCCCGCATTTTTACAGATGGTGTAAGTTTGTCTATAAACCAGGGCTTTACGTTGGATGTTGTTTCGGATCTGGTGCATTGCACTGCGTTCACGGTTGTGCTCACGCCTTTGGGAGCCTCGTCAGGTCATTACTGTTCAGCAGTTTTTCGAAAAACGGCGTCTCTTCATATGTGTTTTGTGTGATGCGTAACTACTTCGCAAATCGCACTACTTCGCACAACCGAGCGGCAGAAAGTTTTCTGCAATCCCAGCCAACTGTCGTGTTTTGCAGGTTGCAGTCGTATACACTTTCTATCCTCCGTCTTCGTCGGTTCTGAATATGTTGATGACGTCATCCTGGGTTGCACGACCTCAATCATTGAGGACTTTGAGACACCAATGATTGTTGATAAACTAGACACTTTGTCTAGCTCTCAGTCCCTCTCTCTCAACCCTTCCAATTAGTTTGACGTAACGCTCTATTTTCTACATCCCAATAGATTGCGTTCGCTTGTACCTGTTTCCGCTTCCATGATTGCGGATGACAAACAGGTACCTCGTTCCTCAACCGTAAAATATCTCGAAGTTTTCTTATCTCAATGTACTTCGGTTTACATGTATTCTTAAAACTCATAAGGAGACATGAGGCTACTTTTTTTACACTTCCCAGCTCAAACATTTTCCCGTTTGCAGTGCTTCAATTGTTATGTTTGTTACTACGTGTATTCTCCCTCATTGCTTATGCTAATCTCTTGTTATTTTCCTCGAACTTTTTTATAAAGCTTGCTCTTGTTTACTTGCTAAAATTCATTTCTCTTTGCTTTGAATTAGGGAAAGAATAACTCGTTGCTTTTATATTTAACGAACATTTCGGTGCATGCATCAATTATTCATCCCTTGCATGCTATTCTTGCCAGTACTATGTCTATTTTTTCTACATGGTTGAAATTTGAAAGTTTTATGTTCTCGTACCTCGTCCGTATCTTTAAGATTCGCCGGTCCGTACTTTTAGCATCACAAGCCTGGTTTGGTATCCGAGGACGCGGGTTCGAGCCTGCGTGTGGGCCGGGCGACCCTCGTAATCCTTAGCCCACGTGCGACCTGTGTGGTTGCGCAGCGGCGAAGCATCGGTACTGCGTATTCTTGATGCCCTAATACCTCGTCATAACTCAACTCCATTGCCTTATCCATCACGCTTACTAGTCAACCCATCAGGAATGAAACTGCTTTCGTGACATCCGCACTTTTTCGTCTTATTGCTGTCAGTCTTTGCTTTCTCGCTGATGCCTTGTTGTATCATTTCCTAAAATGCACCCGTGTGGGTGTATAAAGCTTACTTTTGCTTGACTTGAAGCAATGCAAGTTAACGCAACGTAATCAATCACGAATGGTTGTTTGTAAGAGCAGTAGAAGAAAACTCCTTCAGTCTCGATTTGATCCACGTCTGTTGTGGAAAGGTGTTTAACGATTTCCAACTACTCACAAGTAGGCAGATGTTATCAGAAACATACGGATATCTTGATACTTATGTTCACTAGATCAACGAGAATAACGATAGCAAAACACCACACAATCGGAGAAGCAGTTCAGCATATGGAGTAGGATGGATTAGAAGCGGATGAAATTGGCTGGGAGAAAGAGCTTACAGTCATCAGTAAGGAGTTGGTATCAACAGTCGCTCAATGTTCGAGCCAAGGATATGACACATGTGGGTAAGTGAGACCACCTCTTCTGATTTCTGGATTCAGCGTTCTGGAATGTACCGGAAATTTTCAGAAAAAAGATAGTGTGCCAAACAACGAAATGTCATACAAAACAAAGAAAACAGTTTAAGTCGTATATCCGTATTGGAATTAGTAAAAAACGCACTATCCTGTAGGCTTAGCTTTTAAACCATTTAGCATTGGAAGTAGAATCGCAGAGAAAATCGCAAAACTCTTTATATACAGGGAAAAACAGAGCAAACATAACGGAGGCACGTCCTCTCCTGCAGACTATACTCTGCACTTTGATTTGAAAATGTTTAGTTTAAAATGAACACGACATTCTAACAAGGAATAAAACAGTATCGTCAGAGACGATCAGTTAATAACGAGTTGTCCCACTGCTGTTTTTGTCACATTAAGGACGTCATTCGTGCAATCCTGCTGCATTACCATTCTATCACACTTTTGAATAACTGCAATTAGCGTCTGGTCAGGAATCCTGTTAGTCGGCAGCCGTCTCGCCGATGCTCTTACCTTAGATAACACGTTTTCCACGCAGTTTAACATGTAGGAATATGGCGATAGATATTTCAGCCGATAAACGATCCTGAGATCCTCTTTTGATTATCAGGCATTTGGGTTTTATCGTTGTCCATGAACAGCCATGCACTATTTCTCTCCATAAACTCCTCGACGAATATTGAAAACTGCACCATTGCATATGCCATCATTGATGGTCTTTGTGTGAACGATACTTTGGTTATTCATTGCCACAATCAGTCTTATCATGTGGCCTCTGATTGTGGGCAAGATAATGTCAGTGCGCGTCCCTGTTCTTGTGCGAGCCTGCGCCTGCCGCAGATGTAGGTTAAGCCCGCATCTATCTATGAAGATGCATTCTCTTTGTCACGCGGAGCGTGTACAGAGAAGTCGAGAGCATTAACCTGCCAGCTCCGAGTCAGGTCACATCAAGTCAAACTGAGCTCATGTACCTCGATGGGTGCGTTTTCGCCACTCCACATTAGTAGCTGCGGATGAAGTATAATGACATTATATATATATATATATATATATATATATATATATATATATATAATCAAGAGTGCGCATCGTGATCTGTCTATTGATGTAAAGGCATCTGCTCAATTCCTGACGGAAAACTGCCTGCTTTTCACTCATTCCCGATTCCCGCTCCGCACTAAGTCGACTGACGAAACGTTGTTTCATCAGCGGCTGATGAGCAAAGACTTCATCGCACCAATTATTGTATCTAACAGGCAAGACAGCCGGCAATAAAAGGTAAGCTAAGAGGTTGTCAGACATGCCACTGATCACTTAAGGCGGCGTCATACTCGTGAACCGCAGTAGCGTAGTTTGATGTCAGATCAACTATCCATGCCATGGAGTTGAGGACGATGAGCACCTCTGTTTGACGTTTCGTTGGTGAGTCGGGGGCTCCAAATGTCAGTCATTCGGTTTGAGTTCGCTCTTCCGAAGCCAAACAAGGCTCCTATAACTGACGGATATTTTCAATCATTACTGAACGGTCGTAACTGATCGATGCTTGGTTTAGTAGCCCCACACAGCAACACCTTGGATTGTGAAGTGTTACCTTCAAGCTAGCGTATGCCTCGATTAATAGATCAGATCAATATACGTTACTTGTGGGTGAGAAACAAACCTCAGCTAAGGTGCCGCAATCCTAAAAAGATACTAAACGAATTGCACTACAAATATTCTTAGCGAGTAATATGTTGCTATTATATTATGCATTTTGTATGAAATCGGAATTGGAGGGGGGCATCTAAAGGAGAGGGTGATGGACAAAGAAACTCACAACACAAACGCCATTGGGGTCGGATTCTAGTTATATCAGCGAATGTGAGCGTATGGCTATCATTGTCATCATTGGGAAAATCTGTTGGGACGTATTACGAGAGTAAACAGGGTGTTAACCATATTGTTTCTATCTAGAAACTTCTCTCGGATACCATACTGCAGTGACTCAGGGCTTGTCGTGTGATTTGAGCCATTGTGATCCAGATCACCTTTCCCCAACAGTTATTACATGTTTGGCTACATCAATCTCCAGGACAAAGAACCACACACGGGCGACCCACGGTAGTGTTCTTCCGAGACTTTATGACTGCATTTGATTCAATTCGTCTTATTCGCGTGTTATACCACCAATCATTAAGGATTATAACTGAGATATTCATACTTCGGCATTTTTTTCTGCCACTGGATAATATGGGTGGAAGTTTACGAGAAGCAGATCCTTGAATTCCACGTGACTACTTGATTTTATCATCATTTCCACTATTTCTGACTGTCGATATTTCCACTGGCCAGTTCGCGTGATCCTACGGCGAGTTCTCTACTTTAATCCCCATATCTTTTGTTCCCATCCGCTATATTTTCCTAGCGTTTCCCACTTGGTCATTAAAGATCTCATTTTTCTTATCACTTTTCTTTTCTGCCTGTTTATTAGAGGTTAAAACTTTTAATATTCAGTTCGTTACAAACGAATGCTTACACCTTTACTTACTCACTTCAGGTTACAGATACTTCGCTGGACTGCTCGTCAACCGTACCGTGTACTTCTACCAGTGATTCGTCCTTGTTTTCACTCAATAATGCGGAACCTCCGTTATCAATGTGGATGTTGCCGAGATCACCCGAAAGTCCACAACATATCCACAGTAAGCACTTGTCTATCACCACTTTGACGTTACAATGCATTGTCCTAAATGCAATAGTTGATCTTTTTTGTCTTTTTCCTACTGGGAATCCCTACATTCTTCATCATCAAACACGTTTTTTGTGTACACTTGCCCACTCGCACAACCTAGAGTTTCTAAGAAATCCAGTTTGTTCAAGATAGTCGGTGCTTGATTAAACCGCACACTTCGTGCCTTATTACCGTCGAATTGTTTGTTTGTCCCATATCTTCATCCTCGTTCGGATGCTCTTGACACAGCCGCGTAGCCTACAACACAGACGCTCTCGTTCCTCTGTTCAGGGCTTTTGTATCCAGCCAACTTTCTCCATTCCAAGTCCCAGCCAAGGGCTATACTTTGCTGTTATCGAACCTATAGCGCATTGCACCCCATTTTTTCAACTGGCACATACTCTATGCACAAGACATGCCCTTTCTCCTCAACTCTGATTGGTAGTCTATTTTTCTGTCTGTCTTATTCCATTTTCTTTGTTACTATGAATTTATAAATTGTTATAGCTGATATTTGTTTTGCCTATTGCTTGTAATAATATTTTGTTCTCCGTACTGTAGTTCATCATATGGTCTTTTTAGTCAGACTTATTTACGTTGAGACTGTCTCTAAACTTGCGTTGCAATCACGCTCCATTTTCTGTCGACTTCAAATTCAGCTCCTGCACACGGACTTTTAAACGAGCTTACGAAGAACAACGTGTGTTTGGATTTAGATGCCACATCCTCGACTCACAACTACTATTGTAAGATGCCAACAGCAGACTAACAGCTTTTGCGATCAATGTGAGCCCGCTGAATGCAGGCCGTCGGTCATCTTTTTTGGATGGACTTACCGCCACTGAAGGTCATATTTTTAGAAAACTACTGTTCGGGTCGATGGGTTCCCGTTTTCTTCTAATTCCTCGATCATTTAGGGGATGCTGAAGCGTAGTGGGTGTACAACGCTATGGCGAGTTTGACTACTCTTGCTGTATGAAGCAGTGATTTGTTCACTATGTGTTGTTGTGGACTGAACACCGCCACTTATAGTACTGCTATTGCTTGGCGGGAGCAGCGGACTAGTTTTGTTGTGGAGATGTTTGACACTAAACGGTTCTATGGATTATAACTGTCTACGCTGATGTTTCCATGTCGTTCGAATGTCTGCTGATTAGCAGCCTCGGTACGCATTGTTTAGCAATACTTCAGGAAGTCAGGTGGACCACTAAGCTGCCGGCCGATGACATTTGGTGAGCTACGAGGTATTTGACAGAGAGTATTGAGTACGTATCTTCCTCCCGGATTGTATCCTAGGAATTTGGCACATCACTTTTTGAGACGGTGTTTGGCTTGTGGTTTTTCCGAATTCGTAGATTCTCTGGCATTTGGCTTGCTCCTCCCCGTAAACTATTCGTTCTGGCTACACTTACTGCTTTGTCATCGTTTTTCCTTGTTTTTGTTGCCTTTTCGTTATCCTCCTGCATCGTTCCTCGGCGATGTGTAGCATGGTAAGTGGATCTGGTGCATCTCGATGCAAGTATGAGGTTTAATTTGCACAACCACTGCGTACTAGTTCAATGTAACCGCTACTTTCCACACACAACATATAGTAAACTGAGGAACGTGATCAACTCTCAGTTATGCGGTTGCTCATACACCATTTGGACAACCCATTGGTTGACAAGGGAACATATATGCTTTGACAAGACAGAGGTGCAGCTGGATGAACTGTGGGGAGCTGAAAGTTCTAGTTTTGCTTACTTGGAACAGACAAATTTAGTTTTCATTAATTCTTGTATTTCGGCTGCAGCAGTTCTTTTGGTACCTTAGAATGAACCTGAATTTATGCGTTGACATTCCTGCCAGCAGTCACATCAGAGAACGGATCTCCTGATGAACAGTTTCCTCTAGAAATATGCCTGACCAATCTCACAATCAAGCTACAATCTGTTCATTAAAAGTCCTATATATTCCGTCTTGGATATTTAGCCCATGAGAATTCATATTTAGTCGGCGCAAGCAGAAGACATAAATTGCGATATGCTGACATTACGACTGCTCTCCTCAGTCGCAAACGCACTACATTTGAGAAATAACCTATTTACAAGTGGAACGAAATCACATAGGTAAAATTGAACTGAAACATCATGACCACGGCAATCTTACAGGTTGCCTCAGTTCCTTTTGCGCACACAACGCCGGCCGGTTCACCGCAATCAATAGCGTTTCATTGATCGCCAGCTTCTTCGAGTTGCGGTTTATCAAAAGCACTTTGAGTGCTTTTGATGGGTCCACATGATGGTCAGTCGTCACGAGATGCTTTGTGATAGACGAGGTGGGGTTCCGGTTCGTCGTTTGATCCATCCATTTCTTGTTTCTCTATGGACTGTCTTAACCACTGAGGGAAGTGCTCAGCTACCCTTTGAGCTAATTGACGGTCGGTCCTGTCTATGTATACGTCACCGCAACTGCAGGTGAACTGGTAAATAACATGATAGGCCCAACCGACTGGCGAGCAGCTCGGAGCAAGCCTTCGTGTGGTATGGATGATGCGTAACTGCGCGGTGGTGTAAGTGCGCATGAGAGCAAACCTGAGCTTGGGACCAATGTCGTTTGACACATGGTCTGCTTTGAAGGGCTAGAATCATCATCATCAACAGCAGTACATCAGCCATGTGAACTGATGCTTCGCTGCCATACAACCATGAGGACCTATGAAATAAAGAATAAGAAGAGGGAGAGAAGGGGGACTTACCTGAAAACCTTAATGCCCTAAGCAAATATTCAGGGTCAAGGCGCTACACCTTGTGTAGACAACATACCGTCACAAACAGCTGGCTATCGTGCAAAGATAAGGCGGCATCGGCGAGACAGCTTCCTTGCGGCTTTCACTGCCACGCGTCATAATCAGCCATTACCCCGCAGATAACTCAGCACCAAACACACTTTAAACAGACAATCCGATTAGGAGACGGCAGCAGACGCGCCACTGGTGTCGGTTGCGAGCCATGTCCTGTAAAGTCTCGAGCCAAGCACAAGGTGAGTCACGTGGACTCCAACCCGGAAGGCGAGACGGACCAACGGCACCCAGTTTGGTCGTCAGTGACTTCATTTCCCGCTGCCAAGTCAACTTCTGTCCACCTCGAGCCTTGCGCCACCCTACACCTGGTAGACTGAACAAGGCCCTCTTAGGTAAGCGGTGACCAGGCATACGTAGCACGTGCCCGAGCCAACGCAACTTATTCAGTGCTATTTGTTGTTCTAGGGAGCTAGCATGATTATCACCACCTAGTACTCGCTTACGCACATCATCGTTGCGGACACGCTGGTGCCATCCGACACCAGCAATGCTTCGCAAACAACGATGGTCAAAGATTTGAAGGCGCCTCAGATCTTCAGACCGAAGGGGCCAGGTCTCACTTCCATAGAACAGGACGGCCCTCACTGTGGCCTTGTATACCCGGCCTTTCAGACGGAGGGAAACTCCCTTCTGTCGCCAAAGATGCCTTAGGTTCAAGAAGGCAGCTCTGGCCTTTGCAATGCGTGAGCTGACGTCAGTTTCTATGCGCCCATCATTAAGATAAGTGAATTGATCAACCACCTCGAGTTCCTTGTTAGCAAGCGTCAAGGGGTCATCGGGTGGCTGGTGGTCCTGCAGCAACACTTTGCACTTTGAAGATGCGAAGTGCATACCAAATAATGGGACCACTCTGGATAGGCTATTCAGGGTTGATTGTGCCGCCTCAACATGGTCGAAAAGCAAGACGATATCGTCCGCATAATCTAGATCAACTAACCTTAAACCGGGCAGTAATTCAACGCCTACATCGGGAGATTCCGCAAGGAAACACTCCATGGTTGAATCCACGACGAAATTGAACAAAAAGGAGGAAATCGGACAACCCTGACGAACGCCACTTGTAGTCGAAAAGCTATCCGATAGGACACCATAGACCCTGACGCGGCCTGTAGTGTTCGAGTATAGAGCACTAAGGATGTTCACATATTTCGTGGGAACACCTTTCCGCGAAAGTAATTCGAACAGAATCGATCGATCGACTGAATCGAACGCACTCTTGAAATCGAGGAACACAGCTATTGTCGGTCTGCGGTATACGTGGCGCTGCTCTAGCACCTGTCGCAAAGTAAATATATGGTCTATACAGCCACGTCCTGGGCGGAAACCGGCCTGCTCTTCCCTAATCCGAGATTCCCGTTCTGCAGTGAGGCGACGAACGAGAATCGAGGCCAGTAATTTTGTCACAACTGGTGTTAGGCTAATACCCCTGTGGTTCGCACAGTCTGTGCGACTGCCCTTTTTGTATATTGCCACTATAATCGATTCGCTCCAATTAGCCGGGACACTCTTCATTCCAGATAGATTCGAATAGGGAGGTCAGTGCTTTGCAGAGGATCTCACCTCCATCCTTAAATAGTGCAGGTGGGAGGGAATCCGGGCCAGCGGCACGAAAACGATTGAGGGCTGTGATCGCGTTTCAGACCTCGGCCTCCGACGGAGGCTCTAAAATAGACAGCTTTCTTTTCAGCCCTTTGCACTGGTAACTTCTCCTTGGTTGGTCTGTTATGGCGTTGGATAAACTTCTCCGGAAACCCGTTAGAGTTCTGAGTAGGAATTCTTCTTCATCTCTCGACTGCAAATGCGCCTGGCTCTGTAGAAGAGGGTTTTAACAAGACCGCGCTTCTACGCAACCGGGGTGAAGCTGGTAAAATGCAGGTATTACCCGCTCCATGTCGTTTTGCGATGGACCCTGGGTTGGAGTGTACCTCCTGGTCGTCTTTTGATCAGGATGTCCAGAAACGGTAGGCTGTCTTGCTGTTCCATCTCATACGATACAGAGAGATTGGGGTGCATCGAATTCAAAATTGCAACCATTCGGCGAAAGTGCTCCTCACTGGTGAAGATTAGGAGGTCATCTACATACCGTTTATACTGCTGCTTCATCAATGATGTTAGCGATTTTGCGTTCA